AATCCCTGATTGGTTGCTCGTGCAACAGACTATTTCCGTGTCAATGTTGATAATATGAGTTGACCAATCACACAGCGGGGGCGTGAATTGTTTTCGCTGGATGCACCTGTCCAAAAAGATCGAGATGTAATGCAAAACTGCACACGTAACTGAAATTAATAATCAATTACTGGAACCATGGGAGCATAATGACATGGTGTTAATGTATTTAGATGTAATATAGCCTGCAATCGGGGAGCTATCAACGAAAATTTTCAAAGATCACTTGCTAGGTGGCCAATGGGAAGTGGTCACAGATGATATAAGAACAAAATCTCGAGGAACAATGAAACACAACAAGTTTGCGGAATCAGTGTTTGGTTATCTTGACCAGCTCCTCAGAAAGAATCCAGTTGCCTCTGAGGCTTATGTAATGTTCACATCCAACAGCACCACGGTATGGCTTGATGCAAAAACTGATGGAGAGAAAGAAATCTAGTAAGGTGAGCAATGATGTCAAAAGTGCGTCGAGATTTTAAGACGAGACAAGCTTAAATTCAAAGGAAACAGAAAGAATTGCCTCAAGCAAAAATTAAAAAAGCAGAAGAAATGGAAGTGCAAAGAGAAGCAAAGTTACGGACTTACACAGAGAAGATAATTTCCTTTGGATTGTGGCAGTCAGAGTATCAAGTAGGTAGTGCTTTACAAGAAATACATTGAAACAAAGAAAAACTTGATGCTTTAAAGAGCCAGTTTAACTTTAGTCCTGAAACAACTCCCACCAAAGGAAGGATATGAGAATATTTTCACTTTTTCAAAGAAGGAGCAGGGGAAATTTAGACAATTATCAGTGGATGAATTGAAGTCAAAGTGAAATTGTTGGTGCATCATGCATTTACCATTCCTCCAAATGAAGCTCAAAATGAAAAATATCCCTATTTTAGTGTCAATGACAATAAAGCATAAATTTTCAGATGAAAGCAGGAGGAAGTGGTGGAAGGGTAAAGTAATATCTCAGGTACTCTAGTTCTTCGTGTATACTGAATAGATAAGTTTTTGAAAGAAGCAAAAATAAATAACGCCCACCCTTCACTGCTTTGTGTAAAATCACTAATTCTGCTTTCTTAATAAAAGTGTCAGACTGTGTTAGGCAGTGCACAATGCTTAGTGTATATTGTAAGCATACGTTTAGATAAATGTTTTTAACAAATGCTGGTGTGTTAACCCACTCCTTAAAGCAAATATTACATTTTAATTTCTGTGTTTTTCCATTGGGAAACATTACCAGTTTTACAATTTTAATTCAAAATAATTTTCTTAACATTAATTCATACCTTAGGTAAATATAAATTAGTATGCTGTGCGAGTTTTTTGATATTGAATATAGATTTCAAAATTATAACACCGTTTTCATCACTCACTAATTATCTTTACTTTTTAGCTCTACTGGTCAGAGACCAGAAGAGCTTATGCGATAGCAATGCATCCGTCTGTCTGTCTGTAAACAATTTTTCAAAATACTACTCTAGAAAATTTAAAAATAGAAATTTCTGTGAAAAAGGTTCGAAATGCTACTCTTCCTACAGTTTTGGCCTGATTTCAATATAACTTGGCACTCAGGTAAACTACTCTAAGATACATCATTCTGTAAATCGGTTTTTGATTTCGATCAGGCAGGCACGTAGCATCGTTTTTGAAAGTGGGGGGGCCAACCTCAGAAAATTTTTTTTTACTTACCTGACAAAGTTTACAAGCAAAAAAAAAAAAAAAAAAAAAAAAAAACACGAAAATTAAAAGTTGCCCAAACTCGAAAATCCTATTTCGTGGGGGGGGGGGGGGGGGGGGGTAGTAGCGAACTTTTTCAAACCCAACTTACTATCACTTCCAATTTTTTCCTTACAATCCTTGCTATCACTATACTATGGTTGTAAAGTGGGGGGGCCAACCATCCTATCAATTAACATTTACTATAGTAAAGGTTATGTTAGAGAAAAAAGTGGGGGGGCCAGGCCCCCCCTGGCCCCCCGGATGCTACGTCCCTGCGATGAACGGTATTATGCTACTCCTTCTACAGTTCTGGTCTGATTTCAATATTACCTGGCACACAGGTAGACTACACGAAGATATACAATTCTGATCGGTTTTGGATTTTGATGAAAGAGTTGCGATGGCTACTTAAAATAGAAATTTCTTTGACAGTTTCGAAATGCTACTCTTCCTACAGTTTTGGCCTGATTTCAATATAACTTGGCGCTCAGGTAAACTACTCTAAGATACATCATTCTGTATATCGGTTTTTGATTTCGATGAACGGTATTGCCGTGGTTACTAAAAATAGAAAAATCTGAAATGCTTTCAGAATGCTACTCCTACAGTTTTGGTCTGATTTCAGTATAACTTAGCACACAAGTAGACTACACTACGATTCATAATTCTGTATATCGGTTTTTGATTTCCATCAATGGTGTTGCCGTGGTAATTAAAAATAGAAATTTCTGTAAAATACTTTAAAGGTGCATAGACACAGATTTGAAGTTGATATTTTCTCAGATTTTCTGTATAATATCTCGACTTATATATTGCAACAGCATTTCACACGAAAATATATTAAAAATCTTATTTTATCTTAAAGTTATTGAAATTTCTAATTTTTGGACGGGTTTGATTGACACATCCTTGGACTTTCACAAATTTTAAATTTATTCTTAATACTTACTTAATACTTGATACTAATATTGCCACAAAAAGTGACTAAATCAAGGATCATTATTAGGGCCCCCTCGGCGGGGGCGCCCTATAGTGATCAGTCTGTCCGCCCGTCCGTCCGAGATCTCTTCTCCGGAGCACATCTTCTCTCTCCTTGACCCAATCCGGCTCTTTGAGTAACGGGTGTGCAGTGACCTTGATCATGTTTATAGGTCAAAGGTCAAGGGTATAGCAGAATTAGAGGAAAAATCCTTGTTTGGAGTATATCTTCTCTCTCCTTGGCCCAATCTGGCTCATACTTCACACACAGAGTGCCTTTGGGTAACAGGTGTGCAGTGATCTTGAACCATGTTTCTAGGTCAAAGGTCAAGGTCATAGCAGAATTATATGAAAATCCTTGTCCGGAGCATGTCTTCTCTCCCCTTTGTCCAATGTGGCTCATACTTTACTTACAGAGTGAAGTGGTCAATTGATGTGCAGTAACCTTGAACAAACTTTCTAGGTCAAGGGTCAAGGTCAAAAATAGCCTCTCTCTTTAAAATCTTTGTTCGGTGCATAATTTATTTCCCTTAAGTCCACTCAGCCTCAAACAAATTGACTTGGTATGGAACATTTGTGATTTTCCTTCTATTTTGATTGAGGATATGCAACAATCCTCGTAGAGGATACATTTCTGAAAGTTTTTTGTCCCCGCTTTCGCGATAGAGAGGGGACATTAAATCTCATTCGTCTGACAGGTCCGTCTCTCCGTCAGTCTGTCCGTCCGTCACAAAAACTTTAACCTTGCCCATAACTTTTGATTAGTTGGAGTATGATTTTCATATTTCACCTGTGTATTTCTTGTGACAAGATCTTTCTTTGGGTACCACCGAATTTGACCTTTTGACCTTGACCTTGGAGTTTGACCCACTTTTACACAAAAATTCTGAACTTTTACTTTGGCCATAACTTTTGAATGGTAAAAACTAGGACTTTCATATTTCACATATGTACGAGGGTTGTCCCAAAAAGTCGTAGACAATGTTTATAATTTTTTGAAATTTTTAAGTTCCAACTGCTACCTTTCTTTTCCTTTGTTATAAGTATAAACCATTAGACCTACAGTCTCGACATAGACTTCTGGTTTATTTTCATAAAAGGTACCTTGATATCTAGCTTAGTATAAAATATCATACGAAAATGATCCAGCAGTGTGTCCCTACAAAGGTATTGAAGACTAGAAAGATGGCAAAATAAAACTCATAGTATCTAAGTGATTATAAATAAATACTGATTGCATTTATTGTCTGAGTACTAGTGTTTCTTTTCACATGATAACCATTTCAGATTTTGGCTTCACTCCTTTGTGACACCCTCAAATTAAAATAGCCAAATCTTTTGACAAACTTCACATATCTGTGTTATTATTTTACCAATTTTATCAAATATTTAGGAATTCCTCGACAAATAAATATTGACCTGTTTTCATTACAATTAACTACCCTGACTGTATTTGCAGTATTTCAAAAGTCATAACAATCAATTGGAAATGTAAGTTTACGGTGATCTAAAAAACAACAAATTTTTAAAATGGGAATCCCTCCTACCAAAATTGTTTTTAAAAATTACCAACAAGCTAGCTGTATTTACAAAAATACTTTTGATACAATAATCTTACAAAACCTACTGGAATAAAAAAAATTGTGGAAAAGTTAATCTTGAAAAATTAATTTTTTAAACACATGTAACACTAAAAATCGAATTGAAATTCTTTATCTTAAATTTAAAAGATCAAGACAAAATCTTTATAACGTAAATTAAGAACTAAAAGAGTATATGTAATTTGCTTCTAGACATTCTTTGTCAACTGTGTTAAAAAACGTGACAATGTCCTGTAAAGTAAATACCCCAATTTTAACAAAACGCACATGCATCAACTGAACAAAGACGACACCAAAAAAATTGTATAAATCAATACAAGATAACGCATGTACTTATTCACATGTGTAAATGTATAAAATTTTCAGCGTGATAAAGGTGTAGGTATACGTACATTTGTTAGATTTGTATGTATATCATTCACTGACTTTATCGATCATTGCGCTGTAAGATACTTTGTTACATAAAAGAATAATATTATAACAGAATATATCAGCCATCATTATTCATAGTGCCAGTGAATGAGAACGCAAACTATTTCCCTAATATATGTACATGTAACTACCCTGCAGCCAATAAAGCTGTGGCTCGAACACCCACCAAGGAAAAGCGCAATAACATACGTTATTGCTGGTGTGTGCTTCCATACGTAAACAAAACCGATGTCGGTGAAGCGTGTGTTATGACCTTGACGCAGATCACTCATTGGTAAAACTTCTCCCACGTGCCAGTTAACACAGGTCATTGGAGAAACACCAACATTTAGCCGAACAATCACGTGTACAGTGCTCGCCAAAAGGAAAGAACATTGGGTTGTCTAGAAAGAAACTAAAAGAAAGCAGTTGATTGTTGTGTTATGATTTACAAAATCCTTAATAAAGAGGAGATAGGACAGCTTAAGGAGGAATTATCACTAGGACTGCCGGGAACTGCAAAGGTATCGGGATATATGATTATATTTATTTCATTTATAAATACCCTATATGTTCCCTTAAAAATTCAATTTGAGGAGGACAAAACTTTGGAAATAGGTATAATCAGTGGTATCAGAAACTATATAGATAGTTAAATGAACTTTTCAAGAAATGTTTCCGTTTTGTCGATACTTTTCAGTAATTATTCAATCAAACTTTTCTCAAGGAAAAGGAAAAATGGATATTAATTAAAAAAATACTGAAGACCTTGTCCTTTTTTTCCTCTTTTAAACCTTTTATGTTTAAACAAACAGTCAAACTTTAAATCGTCCATAGATTACGTCGGCTTACTAGTATGTTTTAAAGTGGGTTACTTTAATCAATACTTTTCCCTTTCATGCGTATGTACATGTATGTTTGACTTGTCGCCGAGTGTCTCGATCTCTTATCTAAGACTTTGCAACTTCCTGGATGTGAATATATTTAGTTTGCGTGAACATGCATTATGGTTATTATGACGAGAAAGCTTTCTTGTAAATGTAATGTTGAATTGATAAAAATTAAAGGCTATCAACGTGTGCATTGTCAGCATTATATGTACCATTGTTATCTGTAGAAATACGACTCTCGTTTATACTCGTTGAAAGTCTTGTATTTCCTAATTCTACATTGAAAGATTTTTTTTATCATAAATGGAAAGTTTTTTTTATTTAAACCTATTTCATATATATACCAAATAAATTTTAGAGTTTGGTTCGATCAGGAGTAGATCTGTCGTTTTATTGATTTTTCCCATGTTGTTTTTAAAAAGTAGTAGTTTTCTTTATCTTCATTAGGATGTATGTCTACAGTTAAATAAAACTCGGTCTCTATATGTAGCTTGGAAAGGATTAGACATTTGAAACGCGCACATAAAAGTACTAGACTAAAACAGTTTTTTTAAATATCAAAACGATTGCCAGCCATGTTTTAATGCAAAACACATTTATTTAGTACATGAATATATCTACCATCAGAAAACGCAGTTGAGATTAAAAATAGAAATATAACAATAATCAATATAAATAATTCTAAAATTCGATTCTGCAGAACTCCCGAGGTTTTTTTTTAATCGTTTTTTTTATATATATAATTACAGATATACTATGTAATAAGGAATGCGTTAGACGACAAGCTGAGTGGATTTGAAGTCATAGTGGACAATTGGCCGAAATGGAATTGTATTCTACTGCGACCAGAATCTACCGATAAGGTATAAGCTACTCGACTGTAAATTACCAAAAAAGTCCAAGGAAAAGACTTTATTTCTCAAAAAAAAAAAAAAAAAAAAATTATGTACCATTAGCCATGGTCAATAAATTAAGTTTTTTTCCCCTTACTTTTATTCAAAATGAACTGATTTTTATCTGATGCGTTAGAAATTTAAAAAAAAAAAGCTTTTCACCTTTTAATTTTAAGAGTATTTGAAATGATAATTTATATGTTATAAAGTAGTTAAAATACATGTAATTTTAACTCGTTTTTTGATTTCATGCATTGTGTTGTTCCAGGTGCTGAACTATTTCAGACAGACCCATATTTGTCACACCAAAAGTGTTTCTGCCTTGAAATATTTTCTTCAGAGACCTGGTCTTATCAGCTGGAATCAACCTATCAACTTTACAGGTAACCTCGTGCCCGATAACCTTAATCTACTTTTCTGTTTATCAGTATTAGAATAAGTGAAATATATGATACATGTGCTATATATAGAACACGGAAAGATGCAATATATAAGCTATAAGCTTCTGTCCTCTACAAAAATTTGAAATTTTCAGTTAAAATTTGTATACTATAATGTACAAATTTTGATTGAAAAATTCATATTTTGTAGAGAACACTTCCATTTAAGAGAGATACAATAATGTATAACAACTTTATTGTAGCAAGTTTCAGCTGTACATGTAAGAGGTTATTGCATAAAACTTCGCCTAGCTTGTGTTTAACTCAAATTAACTTATTCATATCGCCGAAATATATTTAGTTCTACACCACCGCCTTGCTGCCTTCATTTGAGACATTTCCCGAATCAACAAATTCAATGTATGAAAGTCGCTTCTTCTTCTCTTATTTTAATACGAGTATCGTTTGTGAATTGTCCCTTTTTAAAATATATCCAAGCTCCTCTTTTAAAACAAAGAGTTTGAAAAGAACAATTTGGTTCGTTTGCTCTTATACAGTTTTATTAGAGTTGTTTTATAGCAATTTGGAAAAAAAAAGCATAATTAAAGTTTCCTTTTAATTAAATAAAATAAAATTTATTATTATAAACAATGAATTCTATCCTGAAAAAATTATTTCTGAAATGAATGAAATCAATATTTTACTTTTTTTTCAGCAACTTAAGTACTAGCCTATTAGGCCTTTTTCACATATGTAACTATATTTTCTTAATCACTCTTGGTATCTTTTTCCACATACATTTTTTTTGAACCGCATTTTTTATTCATTAATTGAAATTGTTCCAAATAAAAAGACAAAAAATGTTAGAACTTTAATTTTTTCTTAATAAAGTTCTTATATTTTAAGCAAAACTCATTGTCATTTAAGGGTTCAAGACAACGTTCGCCATTAGGGGCCGTTAACCCGTTTTTCAATCACGCAGTCTATGCATGTAAGCACTGAAAGACGAAAGTATTGCTCATTCTATTGAGAATGCCATCTTCGACGCGACAAGGTATTAGGTACATAGCCAGTTTTACCGAGCATAACTGTCAGTTATGAAATGTTATGAAAAATACATATTCATAGTACGTACAGTAACTTATTTTATTTATCTATATTATATATAAATTTTAATTCATAGATGGCCTTTTCGCCAGAATTTGTGAATTCGTTGCCTTTTTGGAAGACGCTGTGCAAACATGCAATGCTTTTTAAAACAATATATGTAAAAAGATACTGTTTAGATTAGGTCGCGCGTATTAAAAAGACAATACTGCAGTAATACCTCCATGCACGCAATAGACCTGAAATATTTACACATTATGTCAACATGACCCCATGGTTTACTGACATAGATTACCTGGATGGCTTTAATTCTTGTGCTATCGTCAAATATGTTAGTCAGGATCGACACAAATAGATGACTTGTATTTTGTACATGATGTACTTGTTTTAAACCAACATATTATTACATATAACACCGGCACCTTAATGTTATAGGAAGGATTTGTTAATGCATATAGCAGTTGTTTTTTTTTCATCAAATGTTAAATGCCCATTTTCGTTTTATTCAGTAACATGCAATTAGATGTAAGATTTTTAAAAGCTAGCCAGACACAATTTTAAATTGGTATTTCTTAAACAAACTTGATTAGCGAGTATGTATCTTTTAAATTTTCTTTGAAATATTCCAATAATCATGCAACCTTTTTGATTCGCGAAAGTACGCACCTAGAAATTAGCTCACTGAGATAAGATTAAACGCTCTTCTAATTAAATGGTCACATTAAGTGAGTTTAAAAGCTTTTTCCTTCATTAGAATTTTATATTAAAAAAGAATGTCTGGTTTTGATAAGGGATGCTGATTTTTTTCTCATTTCAGGGGTCCCAAGTGATGTCATACCGGTTTTAAGTGAAGTCTGCAGAAAACATGGCGGTCAAATAACATCTAAGGAGTCCCGACTGATGTATGCATGGAGCAAATCTTCGCCACCGGATATGCCCAAGTAATAATAATTTACTTCTATAGATATCAAATGTATAAGAAAAAAGTACTGAAGTTTACAACATAATTCTTGAAGATGTCATTGAAGATAACTGCTTACTTGTTAATCCTCCTCTTTCTGCAAAAAAGAAAAAAATAAATTTTCAAGTGCAATGTTAGTTATCATAAGATCGTGTATTTTTATGTTATTAACAGAATTCCAGAAGGGGTAACATTGTCATCACTAAAACCTGAACATGCCAAGATATTGAAGAGTGACTGGGCTGCGAAGCAAGGCAATGCAGTGGAATTAGAAGGCTATTTTCAAAGCGTTATTGAAAAGTTTGAAAGCAGCTGTCTCCTAGACAGTAATGGACGAATTTTGGCCTATATCTGCATGCAGTACAACGGATCTATAGCCATGATTTATGTTCTACCAGAGTTCAGAAAAGAGGGTTATTTTGATATTCTTATAAGTGACCTTACACGAAAACTATTAGCCAAACAGGATATTGCATACGGATTCATTCCTTTCACAGATACCTCTCTTATTAATCTCTCCAGGGAACTAGGTTTCGAGTGGGTTCCGCAAGGCAACATGACATGGACAAGATACACCCCGAACGTTCATCAAAGACGACAAAAAGCAGCGTCCGAATCAGATGTTAGTGATGTGTTTTCCAACAACCTTGATACCTTACTGAAATCTCAGCTTGGAGTTCCACTAGTCAATATATGACGTAAACATGTAGGTTTGCATTGAAAGCAATCCATGGGCAACATATCAACCACTGTTGACATGCATTTTTGTTATTTCGTTATCTGATTTATTTATTATATCTGTTGTTATTAATGATGAACAAAGTGCTTTTTTTAAATGGACCAGTTTATTCATTTTTTTGTCTCATTCATGATTTTGGGTTTTATGCAATTATTTTCACAGATTTTATTCTTGATAGATCTTAATATATTGTAAAAAAAAATCAGGAAGTCCGGCGATGTAATATAAAACAGATTATTAAAAAAGACAGTTATTTAAAACAAAAATACTGGCATCTTAATATATGATAGTTATGGATAAATTTTCTTGTGCATTTAATAGTAAAGGAATATAAAACAGATTATTAAAAAAAGACAGTTATTTAAAACAAAAATACTGGCGTCTTAATATATGATAGTTATGGATACATTTTCTTCTTATGCATTTAATAGTAAAGGACAACCTAAGAAATCTAGGTAAAATAGTACTGTTTGCTCTCAGTGATTAGATAGCTGCTTTCTAATTCCAGACGTCCGTACCTGCAGGATTGAAAATTATTATTGTGTCTGTTTTTGTTCTTTCTTAAAGGTCATATATCTCATTTTGTTTCACAATAGATATAATATATACGATGTACAATATACTTGTTTTCATATGAGTTATTATGAGCAAAGGTGTCTCTTCCAAAATTGTGAATCGTATTGCCCGAAAGTCAGGGGTTCTGGTGTTAGGGCGGAGCTTCATTCGTAATATAGTGAAATAAATGCATTAATTTTTGAAAATATTCTCCTCTTTTCCTGGGTATAAAGTTAATGAATAAAGTACATAGCTATGATGAGGAAGAGTGCCTCATCCAAAATTGTAAATTGCATGGGTCTGGGGTTCTATGGCGGGGGGCTTATTATATACTGAAAATTAATTAATTCTTTGAAAACATGCTCCTAGGTATTAAGCCGAACTAAGTACATGCATGTAGTTATGGTGAGGAAGAGTGCCTCTTCCCAAATTAAAAATTTCATGGCCCCTGGGTTAGTAGTTTTTGCGCTTGGGTTGGGCTCCATTCATTAACAAAAATGCATTTATTCTTTGAAAATTTTCGCCTCTGCCCCTAAGTTCTAAGCCAAAAATGCAAACTAATACAACAACACCAATGCAAATGTTGTTGAATATAATTATAAGCAAATGTCCCTTTTCTTTGATTCTGGGTACATTTATCTAGGAGGCAGAGTAGCAAAGTAAATGAGAGTTATGCCCTTTGCTAGATGTCGTTAATCAAGAATCCTTGCATTTAATTTGATTAACAGATTATTTGATTAAATGAAAATACAAGATAGAATATTATATAAGTAGAAACAAAATACAAATTATTTTTTGCTTTAAATGAACAAAGCATGCTCAAAGTCAGATTCTTGCCAGGAAAGAGATTGACAAACAGGTTATGAATTTAGCAAAATTTGCACTTGTACACGGTATGTTTACACTGTATTGCAACAGGTACAACAGTCGTGGCAGACAAGAGACTGAAACAGTTCTTTAATATTTATCAAAATGAACAAAGAATCGCAGAGAGCCTGGGAGACTCTTATTGTATTTAGTGACAAGAGGCAAATAGCCATTTTACATAGCCTTTCCGTGCCCCCAGACTCGATTTTTTCCTTTTAAAAGTTATATGCACCGCTTACCAGCTGAATTACGAACCCCAATCTCTGCAGATAATTCTCATATAATGATAAAAATCCCCAGGCATAAACTTTTCATCCATCTTTTATTTTTAAATAATTAATTTCTCTCCAATCTCGCTCGTTTAAATGTCTAATCACGGAAGTTGCATACAAATGAAACCAAAACGGGCGTTCCGGATTAATCGACAGTTCCGAATGACGCAAAGGCTATGTAGACGCCTGAGAGTATCGAACGTATCGCGGGAAAACAACATGCGCTGCAAACTGTCATCAATGGACACAATCTACTTTTAACGGGACAGGGAAGAGTTTTGTTGTCAAAAATATTATAAAGAAATTGCATTTAAGACACTGTGTGAGAAGGATTAGGTGAGAAAAGAGACATAAAACACCTTTGCATTTACATCTCAATATAACTGTTATTATAAGATACTATATTTGTTTGCCCAAAGTAATTGCTCCTTAAAACTTGTTTTCTTCTTCAATTTTTGCATTGTAAATTAATTTTGCATCCCTTTTGAGATATTACATACAAATGCCTATTTTCAAATGGGCTTTTTATCCAAATAATACCCACGTGCTGTAAAGCGAAACGAACACAAACTCTTCAAACACTTGAAAATAACTTAAAATTGTTATCAATTAATGAACTGCTTGGAAATATAACATTAGATATGAAAATTTTGATTAAATGTCAAATGCAGTATAACCCTCAAAATCCTTTCTCAATATAAAGGCCCAAATAAAAAATGTTTTTTTTTTAACTTTAATTACTAAATAATTATAAATAAATTTGAAAAATGGTTAGGCCTAGGAGGTAATATTTTACAAGGAAAATATAAATGTTGGTTCATTTTTTTTCCAAGGCTTTAGAGACAAATATGGTGACAATTATTATAAAAACAAATTTTCTTTTTGTTTGTGTGTGTTTCGTTCTATGGTGAAATCACCAAATCATGTACTATTCACAAATGATGTGGTCTGGAAGATCGGCGTCATCAGAATGAAGATGCAAACTTGATTTAGACATAGGCAAACAATTGATAGGTCTTCTTTAAATTCATAAACGTCTTTGTCTCCATAAACTGAAAATTTCTTAGATTTTTTGCACTTTTTCGTCCCAAGTCAAATGTCCACATTCCACTCTATTTTTATCGAAATAAATACATGTACCAAATATTTTCATGACATTTTTTTGAGAAATACTAAGTGATATTTTTTCATGTTCTAAAATATCTCCTATTCCTATGCACATTATTTCACATTTTTTAATATTAATTTTGGCCCCGGATGCTTTTCCATAAAAATAAAAAAAAATTAAAACTTCAAAAACATAATTTGTCAGAGAGAGAGAGAGCAAATGTTGTATCATCTGCATGCTGAAACGTAAGTCCTGTCCTATCTGACATTGGAATTGGAATACCCTTTATTAATTCGTTTTGTTTAATAATAGAGCTTAATGATTCTGCTGATAAAACATGTAACAAAGCAGATATTATGCAACCTTGTCTCACTGAATTCTTGACCGGACAATATCTAGTAAAAAATCCGTTACATTTTACACCACTATATATGTCAGAATAAAAAATACGTATCCATTTTCTAAAATATGGTCCAAATCAAAATAGTTCTATAACTTTAAACAAATACTAATGACTAACCCTATCAAAGGCATTTTCCTGATCAATTTTAACTATATAACCTTCAGTATTATCCATATCAGCTAAATCAATAACATCTCTAATACTAACCAAAGTGTCAGCAATATCTCTTCCCATAATGCAAAAAGTTTGATTTTCAGATATAATGTTTGGTAAAACATGTTTTAATATATTAGACATCGCCCTTGCTATAATCTTGTAATCGATATTTAAAAGACTTATAGGTCTTCAATTTTTTAAAAGGTTTTTTATTTTTCTTGTATAACATTGTTATACAAGAAAAATAAAAGGTTTTTTATTTTTCTTGTATAACAATGTTAAAATACCCATTTTCATTGAATGTGAAAGATTACCACTTTCTTCAACTTCTTTAAATACCTAAATAAAATTCCACTCAACTGTGACAAAAAAGCTTTATAAAATTCTAGTGTCAGTCCATCAGACCCTGAGCTTTTCTTGTTTCTTGTTTGCCATTTCTTTTACTGCATTATTAATTTCATTGTTTTTTCAATTACATTATCACACATTTCAATATCATTTTCATTAACTCATAAATGATAAAAAAAAATGCTTCCTGCTTTCCTTAACTGTTTTAATTTATGAATATAATTGTGAATAAAAATTGTATTCTATATTTAAAATAGATTCTAATGTCTGATTTTATAACACCTTCATCATTTTATAATTCTTGAACTGAATTTGATTCTTGTCTAGATTTCTCTAAGTTCAAAAAATATTTTGTACATTTGTCAGATTCATTCGCCCATTTTGCTTGTGATCTTAATATTGCTCCTTGGCATTTCTCTAGTTCAAAATCTGACAGGTCCTGTTTTAAAGCTTCATATTTCTCTATGTTAATATTTATACCTTCTGCAATATTTTGTGACAACCTTTGAAAAACTATTTTGTAATCTGTAATATTCTTTATTTCGTTCTTTTGCTCTACTTTTGCTAAAACTTTGTGAAATTTTTAAAATCTTGTATTTCAAATTATCCCACCATACAAGTGTTGAACTCTCAAATAAATGGCAAGATTTTTCTCTTACAATTATTTCAATTACTCTTGATCGGTATGTATCATCATTCAACAATAAATTATTGTGTATCCATAAACCAGGTCCACGATCACTTCTTACATTGTCAAAATATAGAACAACCATGCAGGGCAAAATGATATAGTGAAATATCGTAAAAGTAATTGTTAAATATACTTTCAACAAAAATGTAGTCTCAACATAATATATATTTTTAACAAAACCAGAAATACTTTCTGAGTCTAAAATATAGTCTATTCTACTCTGAAGAAGAATACTTTCTACAACTAACTTTCTAGAAAATGTTTTACCCTGCTATTTCTTTTTCTCCATAAATCAACTACATTGTGCCCCCTCATCAAATTATAAAGGCCTTTGTAGGACTGATCATAAAAATGAGTTGTCTTTCCTGACCTATCTAACTCTGAAAGGGAATTACTGAAATCTCCCAATATCAATAAATTATTAGACTGAGGAATATCTTGTGAAATGGCTTTAAAAATGCCGCTCTTTCTTTTGTACAATTTGGTGCATAAATATTAATAACATCTATGTTTTCGTTTTTTTTTCATTATAAACTTTGTGTAAATATCTACCATCAAAACCTTTCATAAACTGGACTTTATCTTTTACTTCATTTCTAATTAAAAATGCTGCACCCTTTGCTGCTGTGTCAAAATTGCTGTATAGTAAAATACCATTCCATAAATGTTTACATTTTCCAAGATGTTCAAAGATGTTAAAATGACCATTTTAAAGAAAGAGAAAAAAGAGTTTATTGTCATCATTTGTATTTATTTTTCTTTGCCTTCACCTTCTTTTTAGGTAACTCAGGTGACCTATTGCTATTGCTATCCGTTTTCGTCTCCGTCGTCGTGCGTTGTGCATTAACATTTGAACATTTTCAGATTCTTCTCTGTAACTACTGAGTCAATTTCAACCAAATTTGGCACAAAGCATCTATGGGTAAAGAACAAAAATTGTGAATTTCATGATCCCTGCCCCCTGGGGCCTGAGGGGTTGGGCCAAAACCACTAAAATTAATGATATCTTTTAAAATCTTCTTCTTTACTCCTGGACATCAAGCAGTAAAACTGTTTGCATGATTGTAATTAGCATTAATTCCTCTACCAGAATTGTGAAATTCATGGCCCTGGGGTCAGGGGTTCTAGTGCTAGGGCGGGGCTAAATAAGTATATAGTGAAAATGCATTATTTCTTTGAAAATCTTGTTCTCTGTTCCTGGGTATTAAATAGACTAACAAAGTGCATAGTTATGATGAGCAAAAGTGCCTCTACCAAAATTGTGAAATTCATGGCCCCAGCTGGGTCAGGGGTTCTGGTGTTAGGGCGGGGCTCTATTGATTGTATAGTGAAAAAACACGAATTCTTTGAAAATCTTCTTC